ATCAACTAAGAAATAGAAAGAAATAAAATAAGTTACATTACAGAAACTCTTCCGTAATCTAATCTACCATACTCTACTAATCTCTACTCTACCGTACTTTATGCTACTCACTCTACTCCACTCTACTCCACTTTACTCTACTATTTTGTATTTTACTCTACTCTACTCGATTCTACTCCTCTATACTTTAACCTACTCTACTCTATTTTAGGATACTCTAGTCTACGTTACTCTACTTTACTCTACGATACTTTATGTTTCGCTACTCTTCTCGACTCTTCTATCGTCTACTTTTTTCTTCCCTAAGCTTATCTTCCCTACTCAACTCCACTATAGGATACTCAACTCTACTCTGCTCTGCTTTACTCTACAATACTATACACTTCCTTACTCTTCTCGACTCTACTTTTTTTTACTTTTTCTTCCGTAAGCTTCTCTTCCCAAGTCTTCTATACTATACGCTTCCCTACTCTGCTCTACTCTACTTTCCCTAACTCTACTCTACTCTACTCCACTCCTCTCTGCTTCACTGGGGTGGAGTAGAGTGGGGAGTAGAGTGGAGTCGAGTGGAGTAGAGTGGAGTGGAGTGGAGTGGAGTGACAAGGAGGAGAGTGGAGTGGAGAAGAGTGGAGTGGAGCAGAGTTGAGTGGAGCGGAGTGAAGTGGAATAGTGTGTATAGGAGTGAAGTGAAGTAGAGAGGAGTGGAGGAGAGTAGAGTAGAGTAGAGAAGAGTAAAGTGGAGTGGAACTGAGTGGAGTCGAGTGGAGTAGACTCTACTCCACCCTACTCTACTCTAGTCCACTCCACTTTACTCTTCTCTACTCCACTCCACTTTACTCTTCTCTTCTCTACTCTACTCTTCTCTTCTCTACTCTACTTCACCCCACTCCTCTATGCTTAACTCTACTCGTATACACACTACTCCACTTCACTCCGCTCCACTCAACTATGCTCTACTCCACTCTTCTCCACTCTTGTCTCCTTCTTGTCACTCTACTGCACTCTACTCCACTCCACTCCACTCCACTCCACCCCACTCCACTCCACTCTTCTCCACTCCACTCCACTCCACTCTACTCCACTCTACTCCACTCCACTATACTCTTCTCTACTCTACTCTACTCTCCTCCACTCGTCTCTGCTTCACTCCACTCCTATACACACTACTCCACTTCACTCCGCTCCACTCAACTCTGCTCCACTCTTCTCCACCCCACTCTCCTCCTTGTCACTCTTCTCCACTCCACTCCACTCCACTTCACTCCACTCGACTCCACTCTACTCCCCACTCTACTCCACCCCACTCTACTTCACTCTACACTAGTTGACTCAACTCTACTCCACTCCACTCTACACAACTTGACTCGACACCACTCCATTCCACTCTACTCCACTCCACTCGACTTTTCTCTTCCCTACACTTCTCTTCTGTACTCTTCTCTACTTAAAGCTTCTCTACTCTACGTATGTCTGCTCTTCTCCTCCCTACGCGTCTCTTACTCTTCTCCATTGTACGCTTCCCTACTTTACCCTTTCGTGCTCTGCCGTACTCTGCTCTGCTCTTCTCGGCTATGCTCTGCCCTACATTATTCTGATCTGCTTTCCTCCTATCTTCTCTTCTTTGCTCTACACTCCTTCACTTTGATTTGCTCTACACTCCTTCACTCTGATTTGCTCTACTCCATTCTGCTCTACTCTACTTCACTCGCCTCCACTCCACTCGCCTACACTCTCCTCCACTCCACTCCACTCCACTCCACTCCACTCTATTCCACTCTATTCCACTCTACTCCACTATACTCCACTCTACTTTACTCCATTTCACTCTACTCCACTCCACTCCACTCCATTGTACTCGACTCCGCTGTACTCCACTCCATTCCACTCCACTGAGTCACTGTATTCCACTCCAATCTACTCCACTCGACTTGACTCTACTCTACTCTAGTCTACTCTAGTCTATTCTACTCTACTCTACTCTACTCTACTATCCTCGACTCTACTTTCCCTACTCTACTTTACTCAGCGTCTACTCTTCTCTACTCTATCTTCTCTACGCTTCTCCACTCCACACTTCCCTGCTCTTTGCTTCCCTGCTTTGCTCTTCTCTTCTCTTCTTTACCCTGCTCTACACTACTCTCCTCTACTCTGCCATGATCTGCTCTGCGCTGCTTTGCCAAGATCTGCTCTACTATGATCCGTGTTGCCCTTCATCACAGTGCGCCCAGTTGCTGACTTGAATGGAACGAAAGATCTTCATATTGAACGGTTTTCTTTGTATGCTGGTGTTGCTCTTTTTTCATTCTACACATTGTTCTTTTGTTGGTCCTCTCTCTCTCTCTCTCTCTCTCTCTCTCTCTGTCTCTCTCTCTCTCTCTCTCTCTCTCTCTCTGTTCTTTCTCTTTCTTTCTATGTCTCTCTTTCCTCCCCTTTTCTCCTTCTCTTTTTTTTTTTCTGAAATTTTCCATCTGTTGCTTTTTTAATTCGTCGGAGTCAGTTTGAGGATATTCTTTATTACCGTTTGATTTTTTCTTATATTTAAAAAAAAGTCTATCTGAGTTTATGCCAGCGGTCAGTGTGAGGTCACCCAGTACATTTGTTGTTTCTGTGGGCTTAGCCCGCACCGCCCGCACGGTGGGCGCTTAGCTAGTGTGCATAATAGACAATATAGACCTAACGGGGACAGCCTATCACATGGAAATCATAGTTTATACACTTACACTTTTACACATTTCCACTGACAGACAGCATGCCTGCACAAGGCTGTAATGTACACAATGGACATTAGAAACAGTTCACTGCACACAAATTCACACTTACACAGCATGCCGGCTCAAGGCTGTAAGATACATGGATAGAACTCAGGGCTTACCATAGCCCAGTCTGTACAAAGGGGATCAAACATACACATAACGATGCCCAGTTCTCATCATATTTATAGGGACGCTGGACCCGTTTTCCAGCAGGTGATGCTCCCCACCAAGAGATGCAGCCCCCCCCGAAGTGCTAGCGGTCCCTGCTCCTAACAGCACCCCAAGCATTGAGTCGTTTCTCAAAAAAAAAAAAAAAGAAGGGGGAAAAAAAAGGAAAGTCCCTGAGTCTGTGATAGCCATCAGATACATGCTACGAGGTGGTAGTGAGATTGTGCCCTCAGTGAGCATCTGTCCCATGAAGACCGCCAAAAGAACGGAAAAATAAAAATCATCCCCTGCGCTCTGATCCTGATCCAGGATGCTACAGTACTAGTGTGAGTATGAGGTGAGCGAGGCAATTTGTTGTCCCGCGTGGGATCGCCCTGCCTCGCTGACAGGGCACCAAAACAAAACTAACTGAAGAAAATAAGACACGAAAACAGAGGAAAAGAAGAAACAAAAACAACAGCAATCGCCTTCCACACATACTGGCCAGATACATTCCTCAAAGCAAACACACGTAAACAACTGTTCATGAGGCCCACGCAAGTAACTGTTCATAAGCGTATGAAGAGATCATGACGGAGCTCCAATAAGTGTTGGGAACCACTTGCAGCCCCAAGGGGATTTGGAACTCCACAATATGTAGAATGAGAATCATGCCCCCACCTATCTAATCTTGTTAGGTAGGTAACCCCGTTCGGTTCCTGAGTAGTCCTGGGACTCCACCTGCCAAATTTCTTAAATTTCTTACTTTTGGAGTGGTTCATGCGGCTTGCAGTAGCTACAATAGGATGTCTATTCAAATAAGCGAGTATGATTTTCAGGGACACTGGACCCGGTTTCCAGCAGGTGCTGATCCCCACCAATAGATGGAGCCTCCCCGACAGTGATAGTGGTGTCTGCTCCTATCAGCACCCCTATCCCTGGCTTGGGCTGTTAAAAAAAAAAAAAAAAAAAAAAAAATCCGACGCTAGCGATACAATCATGTTTGTGGCTATAATTACCCCTTTGAAAAGATAAGAGAGAAAGAAAGAGCGCATTTCCAAGGTGAAGAGATTCCCCCCTCTATCCTCTAACCTGCTCAGTCAATCCCCTGGATCCCAGGGCAATCAATGCTGGCAGGAACCGTTCACAATTGTTACTCATTATTTCTGTTATGGTTCAAATTTATTTCATGTAAGGGACGCTGCGCCCGCTTTCCAGCAGGTGATGTTCCCCACCAATAGATGGAGCCACCCCCCAGGTGCTAGTTGTGTCTGCTCATAACAGCACCACTATCATCAGAGGTAGGGGCGTTTTTATATATATATATATATGGATGTTTTGCTGGCTTGTGATGGGGTGTGAACCGACAGTCTGTAGAGTTTTCCATCTGGTGTGGGTGAGTGATAGTCTACTTTGATTTTGGTTAAGGTAGATTATCATTTACAGTGTAATCAGTGAGGGGATTCTGCAGACTGTTGAGGGTTCAGCCTCCTGATGAGTCGGTGAAACTCCGACGAAACAGTTTGTCACAGCCCCTCGTTTGTTGTCCTCTTCTCCCTCTCTGCCTACGGTTTACCGGGCAGTTCTATTTGACGATATATATATATATAAACCAGAAAAAAGCGCATTTCCAAGCGCCTACATTCTACTCACCTTGGATCTACTACGTCGCCATCTTTTATGCCCCCGGCGTGTAGGAACACGTCAGAATGCTGTGGGTCTCATCCTCGTCCTCTGCCTGCATGCCATCCTCTGCCTGTGGCATGGCCAGTAGGTTCTCCATGTCCATGGTCCTGGTCAAGAAATCCCAACCTTCATCGAGAAACATGCTGTGAATGCGCTGCACAACAGCCCGCATTGCGGGCCTCGACCCGTATTCTTCATGGATGCATTCCCAAGCCAACCTGAAAGTGGTCATCACCATCTGCTTTGTCGAGTCTCCGGCCACCTGATCCCACAAACAGCGGTCAAGAATCACATTTGGCATGTCCAAGCTGGGATCTTGGCCAKTTTCACCTCCACCCYKCAAGAAAGGCTTCACCCASTCSACGAGGGTCTGCCATCCTAGCCCAGAAGGGGCCGGTGTCACCACCTTTCTTCCAGTCAGCAGCTCCAGCACAAGAACCCCAAAGGAGTACACATCATTCTTCTCAGACAGCTCACCTCTCAGCATGTACTCTGGGGACATGTACCCAAAGGTGCCACCGATGTGAGATGTGAGCACCACATGGTCGTGCCCAGTGTCTAASACTCTTTCCCCTATGGACGCCAATCCGAAATCAGCAAGGACTACGTGGAGTGTCTCCCCAYAGCCATCKCCAAGAAGGACGTTGTKGCTCTTGATGTCACGRTGGATGATGGGAGGCTTGGCGTCATCATGGAGATACCACAGCCCTTTGGCCACCTGAAAGGTGATGCTCATGCGCTCTTGGAGAGTGAGGGGCGGAAGAGAATCCGCCTCCTCCAAACCCCTTCGATTATGTCTGTTAGGGAACAGCCGCTCGTATAAGCAGCCGCCTCGGAAAAAAGGGTACACCAGGATGCACTGATTGACCTCCTGGCAGTACCCCATTAGCTGGATGAGGTTGACGTGATTAACTACGCTGAGGGTGTTCACCTCCGCCACGAACTGGTTGCGTTTGGTGTCCGTGAGCTCACCGGTCATCACCTTGATTGCCGCCTCCTTGCCGTCAACCAAACCCCTGTAGACTTTCCCGAAGGCCCCTCTCTCCCCGATTCGATGGGTCTCACTGAAATTGTCCGTGCAGTCCGACAGGGTCTTCAAATCGAACTGCTTGACGCGTGAGGGCCTGAGTCCCCAAGCGGGCCATGCACTGACGTCCTGTGAGGACGAAGCCCCCGACGGTGCGGTAAGGATGGAATGCTGCGGGCGAGCTTGACGACGACGGTTTCTGCGCCGCCAAGCCCAAAGTATGCCGACGACGATTGCCACAAACACCCCAGCCCCGGTTGCAGCCAGGATGGCCAGCAGTTTGATGTTGTTATTGGGGGGTTCACAACCTCCCAGCTCCGACCTGCTCAGCGGTACCCGAAACAATTTGCCATCGCGGGTTCCCATGAACAGGATCAACCGCTCACCGTCATCGTGAAGAGCCAATCCTACAACGTCCATACCTTTGGGATAATATATGCTTCCCACCTCTCTGCTCGCCTTACCGCAGGGAGCGACGAGTGCATGGATATAAACATGGGCACTTTCGGATGTGAAGACGTGGCATCCTTCTGGCGTCGTGACCACGTCATACGCATAGAATTGTACAATATATTCCCTGACTACTAAAGTGTAGTCATGATAACTATCGGATTCTAGAGGCTGCCCTAGCACTCGGCCATCAGTCTGCAGACAGTAGAGGCAACTGCCATCCGAGACAAGGCTTTGAGATTGGAATTTCGCACCACGAAATGGCTCCCCCATGTCTGAATCGAATGACGCACTATAGCTTTCGGGAAGTCCTGAATCACCAACAGAGAGAATTGTCGCTAGCGCAACTAATTGTGACCAATAGTAGATATATCCCAACTTGGGGTTTAACGCCCAAGACTGGACTAAATCTGGCCACGGGAAGGACGATCGAGAGCCGTCAATGAGAGACAAAGAAGTGAACATGGAGACATTCTCTCCAATCGTCTGTCTCATCGTATACGTGCTTCCATTCGTCACGCTTAAGAGGAGATGAGCGCCATCTTTGGACAGACCCATCCCTGACACATGAGCCATACGTTTCCCGCCCAAATCCGTCCCGCTTACGATTCTCGATCCTTCTGGCTGGTCGTATGGCCACATATAGGTCATTACTGAGCTTTCGTCATCCTGTCGGCTCGAACCGTCGCCCACCTGCAAGTGCTGCGACAGGTTTACTTTCCTGATCGACATCGCATACTCGGAGTCATAACCATCTTTCAAGCAGTACTGATGCAGGACGTAGTAAAGTAGCTGTTGTTCATTGCCGGGCGAAATCACGACCAGGTTCTTTATATCCGACCGACATACAGGCGCGTCAGTTGAGTTACCAGGCAAGGGATGTGACACCAGGAGAGTGACGGAGCCGTTTACTAGCGACGGCGGCCAGACGCTCACCAGTTCTTCCGGCAGCGGTTCTGCGTTCGATTCCCAACCCGACGGAAGCGAAGGCGCCGGCGCTGCTGAAGCGGCGGCCCTTGTCGACTCATCCTGCAGAAGGCGAGCACTCGCGTGGCTGCCCGAATTGGACGTAAGACCCCGCAACAATTCAGTCCTCCTAATAAGTGGTCCATCTCCTGTTGTTGATACGAGGATCGGACAACGGACACACACGACAGTGACTGCCACTGCCAGCAGCAAACAGCCTAGAAAGAGCAAGCGCAACCGAGCGAAGGAGCAGACATGACAATGCCAGCGATCACAGAAAGCGTCGCAACGGCCCTTTACCGGACAGGACGGCTTCATATCCATCCACCCACTCTCAAGACTAGCGTGAGCTGGCTGGTTGAGCTGTCATGGAGACGTGCCTCAGTCTCGTCCGTTCGGCAAGCTACCCCAACACGTTCAGCCCGCTTTCTCACACTCTTTCGACTAAATATCAGCGGTTCCCGCTCCTATTCCTATTCAGCAACTTGACCGTTCCGCGGAGGTATGATTGTGACAAAAAAGCCACGTTTGTCCTTCGTGACATCCGTTAAAATTGGAACGATACAAAGAAGATTAGCATGGGCCCTGCGCAAGGATGACACGCATAAATCGAGAAATGGTCCAAAAAAAAAAAAAAAGCCACGTTTGCGAGCAGCGCTGCCTCTTTTGTCGCGTATATCTAAGCAGAAATACCAGTCCGTGACGTTTCAGCGGCCAAAATTATGAAACTTCACCCTCTGCGGACCGGTAAAGTTGCTACGTTACGTTTGAAAACGGCTATATCTGCAATTTGCCTAAGAAACAACAATCCGATGAAGTGCACACAAAACAGATGAACATCCACAGAAAACGAGTTCCAGCTGAAAAGTCAGCCCTGAACCACTCCTTTCACGGTGAATGAAACCCTTGCCGGCACGCACACACACACACACACACACACACACACACACACACACACACACACACACACACAC